CTTCATCGTGAAAAATGTATAATACAATTCCTATTATGATGGATTACAATTCCTATTATGATGGCCAAAAAGTAGGTGTTTGAGGAGCAGTGGTGTCACCCTCCCTTAGGGTGTCTGCTGGTGCGGTCTGTACCCCCCGCAGCCCCCAAGTGATGCCACTGCTCCAAGGGAGTGTGTTCCACTGTCCAGCAGCTCTGACCATCAGGAGGTTCCTCCTGAGATTTAGGTAGAATCTCTTTTCTTGTAGTTTGAATCCATTGTCCATATCTACGCTCTGAAGGTGTGGAAAACATGCCTCTTCCTTCTTCAATATGCCATCCCTTCAAATATTTAAACATGATGGCCATGTCCCCTCTTAACCTTCTTTTCATTAGACTAAACATTCCCAGATCCCTAAGCTGCTCCTCATAGGGCATGGCTTCCAGATGTTTCACCATTTTGGTCCCCCTCCTCTGGACATGTTCTATACTGCTTTATAGTGCTAAGCAGTGAAATAACTAATGGGGTGCAGGGGATACAGACCCCATCAGGTGAGCTGCTAGCAATAGCACTTACATTTCTACACTGCTTTATAGTGCTGAGCACTCTCTAAGCAGTTTACAATCTGTAAGCCAATTGCTCCCAACAAACTGGGTACTCATTTTACCGACCTACAAAATGATGGAAGGTTTTATGATAAAATAATTAAGATGTATTGCTGGGTCTGAGAAGCTTAATGTGTATATATTGTGTAATTAATCACAGGGACCTAAAAACAGAAAATTGATAATTGACAAAGTCAACAATGAGAATGTAATAATTTTGAATGTAGTGAATGTGTTTGAAATGATATGTGTTTTTAAAATTTTAACAATAAAATTTATTAAAAAAAAAAAAGATGGAAGGCTGAGTCAACATGGAGCCCTTATGGGATTGAACTCACAATGTTTTTGGTTGCAGGACCAGAAATTAACCACTACATCACCAGGTGACACCCTAAGAGGAGGTGACACCACTACTCCTCAAACATCTGCACTTTGGTAGAAACCGGTGGTGGCAATCACATGTCTCTTTAAAAATGCTGAAAAGATAGTGTGAATGGGATAGAGGTCAGTGGGAGGAAAACGGAGAGGCCCCAGTGTTTTCATTAATTCAAATTTCAAAATTCTTAATTTTTAAAAAAATGTTTTTTAATTTTCTTGAAAAACATCACCTTTGATCAAATTTTCACTTTAACCACATGAAACTATGCATATGTAAATACGTTTATTCTGTGCACATGATGTTGTGATTTCAAGGTATCATTTTAGTTTTACTCATTGTTTATGTACTACTACAATCGTCTCTCCCAGTTTGCGGACTTCCCGTCCACAGTTTTGACTTCATGGACAGCAAGCCAGGAGGGACAAAATGGTGTGTGTGCCTGCAGTGCGCATGTAGCGACACACACAAGAGTGCACAGCCAGTAAAATAAATGAGGCTTGAATATCCGCATTTTTTTCCATTCGCAGGGGGGGGTCTGGAACAGATCCCCCATGAATGGGGAGGGACGACTGTATTACCTTTACATTCAATGATATATGAGAATTACTAGTTATGGGTAACATTAGTACAAAAAATATAACTAAGGATTCTTTATGCTGTGGTCTGGGAAGAGGTCAATAGGAGGGGGGTTGACACCATGAGTTACCACACTGGATGACACCAAACCCAGTAAGGCCACTGGCTTATTCTGGTCCTCAGTGGCTTCCACCAAGCCAGCCTCCTCTTCCTCTATGATCCTGTTGGAGGACTGCAATCCACCTGCTTTTGTAGCCACCACCATGGGAAGTCACCAGAGAAGGCTCAGGCGGAAGTCTGCCCAGCTTTCCCAATTCTACCTTGGCCATCACCCACCCAAGATCACCCTCAATTGCATTGAGAGTCTGGGGAGGAAGGCAGGGAGGGAATCACCCAAGACTATTTTCCTTCCCTTTCAGGCAAATCCTTCCCCCTCTTCTCCTAACCAAACCCATCTGATGCACAACAGAGTGGGTTGTGTGCCTTCAAGTCGTTTCCAATTTATGCCAACCCTAACCTGTCATGGGGTTAGCTTGGCAAGATTGGTTCAAAGGGAAATTAGCTGTGACCTTCCCCTGAGGCTGAGAGCGTGTCACTTGCTCAAGGTTTCATGGGTTTCATGACTGAGCTGGGAATCGAACCCTGGTCTCCAGAGTCCTAGTCCAACACTCAACCCACTAGGTCATGCTAGCTCTTGGGGTAAAAGAGTGATAAAATAGCCATCCGTCATGGTGGTGGCACTGATGCTGGTGCTGGCATAGCGGACCCCATGCTTGCTCATCGCTAGGCTCTTGTCTGCCTGCCAGCCCAGTAATGGCCAGGAGAGGCCATGCCAGAGCTACAGACCTGAGGAGGAGGCTAGTGGTGACCAGATGTCCTTCTTTTCCAGGACATGTCCTACATTTAAACCTTCCGTCCAGGAAGAATTTCAAAATGTTCTCCATTTTGAGCATGACAAAGAAGCATGAGTTTTTATTGATGCGAGTGTTTTTAGCTTTTATTTTGTAATGTCCCTACATTTTTCTTGAATGCCCTACATTTTGCAGTGACTTGTCCTCTTTTACAGTTAGAATACCGTAGTCTGATGGCAAGATTTGCTTAGAAGAACAGGTTCATCATACAAAAGGTCCCAAGGTGGTGTCGCTTCTGACTCCCTGAACACAACAGGTTAGTTATCAAATGATGGATTGTATTTGCAATGATGGAGGTTTTAGGAGAGTGGCTAAAACAAAAACAGAAACATGGGCTTTTAAAACATGGGAGATGTATAAAAGGACACTTCTGTATCCCACTGTTTTTGTGGAAAGGGTGCCATGACCATAGGGTGAAATTAGCAGAGATTTGTAGTTTTGTGAGATATTTAGCCTTCTCTGTCAGAGAGCTCTGGTGCCACAATAAACTACAAATCTCCCAGCATCCCAAGGCACTGAGCCATGGCGGTTAAAGTGGCTTGGAATATAGGATGCAAAAATGCTTTCATCTGTGTTATGAAAAAGTAGCTATTTAGGAATCGCTATTTCTTTGGGAGAGTGTGCGCACTCAGGGAACTTAACAGGTCCTTTTAGATATTTGTTTCACTTCAATTAAAACATAGGGGTGCAGTCTATAATTCTCCCTGTCCCTATCTCTGCACAGATCCCTCCCTTTCCCTCCTCTCATTTCAATCTTCTTTCCTGTGATGGCCAATATTGCTATGACTAAGAAACACGCGTATCAGAGTCATCAAATTTTCATCTTCAAACTGTGTGCACACACCTTCAGGTCACTGTCAACTTAAGGTGACCCCATGAATTTCAGATGAGTTTTCTTAGGCAAGGAATATTCAGAGATGGCTTGGGCTCCAAAATGTAGCCTACAGCACCTGGTATTTGTTGGCAGTTTCCCACCCAAGTACTAACCAGGGCTGACAGTGCTTAGCTTCCAAGATCAGACAAGATCTGGTGTCTTTGGAGTATTTAGGGCTCAGTCATCTTCAAACTAAATATCTCAATAGTCCAAATTAGTTGAGTAAGGTCTTGGCCTTCTCTGTGCCCACTAACTGAAGTCTCTCCCTGCTCCTCCACCCATCTCTTATTTTCTCCATAATCTTATATCCCTCTAATTTATATTTTCCTAAGGTGATATTTTATGGTTGTATACCTTCAGGTTGTTTCTGACTTATGGTGACCCTATCATGGGGTTTTCCTGGCAAGATTTGTTCAGAAGAGGTTCACTATTGTCTTCCCCTGAGGTTGAGAGCATGTGACTTGCCCAAGGTCACCCAGTGGGTTTCATGGCTGAGCTGGGAATCAAAGCCTGGTCTCTAGAGTCATAGTCCAACACTCAAACCAGTACACTGTGCTGGCTCTAAGGGGATCCTATTGCAGGTTTATGTTGGTAAGATTAGTACTGGGGATGGGGTTTGCTATTGCTTTCCCCTGAGGCTGAAAGAGTGCTTTCCACGGCAATACTGATGGTATCACTTCCTTTAAAATGTGGTAAGACATTTTGTGGTGTTTGGACACCCTTCTGCTCATTCTGTAGAACTGGGTCCCTATACTTGTATTAAAGTACTACTGTCCAAAGTAGAAAGACAGTATCTATCTCAGGTAGCATCTGCACTGCAAAAATAATGCAGTGTGACGCCACTTTCTGAGATTTTAGTTTTGTGAGATATTTAGCCTTCTCTGTCAGAGAGCTCTGGTGCCACAACAAACTACAAATCTCCCAGGATTCCAAGGCACTGAGCCATGGCGGTTAAAGTGGTGTCAAACTGCTTTATTTCTACAGTGCAGATGCAGCCCCAGTCTTGGGTATACACTCTCTCAGGTTTGCCTTTTCTCTCTTCTGCTCATCAATAGTTAAGATCAAGTTGTTATTGTTATGTGTCTTCAAGTTGACTCTGACGGAGATTTATTCCGAGGAGGATTGTCATTGCCTCCTTCTGAGGGTGAGAGAGTGTGAGTTGCAGAAGGTCACCCAATGAGTTTCATGGCTGAGTGGGACTTCAAACCTTGGTCTCCTGGAGTTCTGGTCCAACATGCAAATCACTGCACCATGCTGGCTGTTACTTGACAATTATGGCTGAAACCACTTGCAGTGTTGGCGCGTAATGGAGCAAATCTGAGCACTTTGTATATACCTCACTTGCATGTTACCCTAATATACTTGCTTTGTATTTCAGACCAGATGAAAGAATTTTGCCAAGTGATTTTGGAAGACCTTGCCCAACCTCAGCTCCTACGGATCGAAAGTGTTGGCAAGTCTTGAGCTTGCAGTGCCAGCAAACCAAGGCAGATGTCTGTAATAGAATTTATCGAGTAGTTTGATGGTCTGCTTTTGGCGCTGGAAATCTTGACACAGCTCCTCTTGCTGGCACCAAAAGAGGAAGAATTAGTGGTGAACTCCCTTGAATAAATGTTTATCCCCTAGTTTTATTTGAGGCTTCAATCACTCTCCAGGGAGGTTAGCTCATCCCTTTTGAATACAAGTGTG